TTTATAGAGTGATTTCTAATGATGTTACCTAAAGGAAGCATATATAGAGTAAATAGGATTGGTCCGAGCACAGAACCTTGCGGAACTCCAAAACAAACTTTGGTACGTAAGGATGATTCATTACGAACGTCAACAAATTGAAAACGATCAGATAAATAAGATTTAAACCAGCTTAGTGCTGAACCTTTTAGGCCAATTAAGTGATCCAGTCTCTGCAGTAGAATTTGATGGTCATCACCGAGACCTTGTCTGGCCAGCGGCTGCTGGTCGATTGTGGTGCTCAGCGCAGCATCCTGCCGGCGAAACCGGCGGACACCATGGCTGGCAGGCACGGCCCCCCGATGGACGCCGTCAATGGCACGCCCATACGTACCTATGGCAGGAGGTATGTGGAGGTGTGTTTCAGCGGGCGGCATTTCGGCTGGGACTTTGTCATGGCCGCCGTGTCTACGCCGCTCCTGGGAGCCGATTTCCTCTGCGCTTACAGACTGTTGGTGGATGTTACAAACTGCCGCCTGATCAACGCCCTCTCTTTTGCTTCTTACCCCTGCACGCTGGGAGGGGTGGGGGCACTTTGTCTGTCGAACATGCTTGCTACCGGGGACCCATATCAACGCCTGCTCGCCGAGTTCCCTGACCTCACCACACCCATGTTTTCATCGGCGCCACATCAACACAGTCAGCCCCCAAGTCTATGCACGAGCCTGGCGCCCAGGGAGGAGTTCACCACCATGGAGCGCCTCGGCATCGTGCGCTGCTCCAACAGTCCATGGGCCTCCCCCCTGCACATGGTAACCAAGGCTGATGGTGGTTGGCGCCCCTGTGGTGATTTTCGTAGCCTAAATAACGCCACCACCCCCAACCGGTACCCGGTGCCGCACATACAGGACTTTTCTGCCCACCTAGCTGGTGCCACCATCTTTTCAAAGGTGGACCTGGTGCGCGGTTACCACCAGGTGCCCGTCCACCCGCAGGATGTCCCCAAGACAGTGGTCATCACACCCTTTGGCCTTTTTGAATTCCTGCGGATGCCTTTTGGCCTCAAGGGTGCAGCACAGATGTTTCAGCGCCTCATGGACTCTGTACTACTAGACATGCCATTCTTGTTTGTTTACTTGGACGACATTCTCATGGCCAGCGCATCCGCGGAAGACCATCTCACGCATCTCTAGCAGCTGTTCAGCTGGCTCAGCAAGCACAGCCTCATCATCAAGCCGGCCATGTGTGAGTTTGGCCGGTCATCCATTACCTTCCTCGGCCACCACGTCACCCCGCAGGGGGCCATCCCCCTCCCTGCCAAGGTGGACGCCGTCGCCAGTTTCCCACGCCCCCGCACCGTAAAGTCCTTGCAGGAGTTCCTGGGTATGGTGAATTTCTACAACCGTTTCATCCCCCATGCGGCCCAACTCATGAGGCCCTTGTACGATGCCTTGCGGGGTAGGAGGCCAGCGGACAAGTTGGATTGGTCCCCAGGGATGACTGACGCTTTTGGCACTGCCAAAACCGCGCTGGCCAACGCAGCTCTGCTGGCGCACCCATCTCCGACCGCCCCAGTTGCTCTCACTACGGATGCCTCTGATTGCGCGGTGGGGGCTGTGTGTGAGCAGTGGGTGGGCGGAGCCTGGCAGCCGCAGGCCTTTTTCAGCAGGAAGCTCCGTGACAGCGAGAGGAAATACAGCGCCTTCGACAGAGAGCTCCTGGGTCTTTTCCTCACCACTCGTCATTTCCGGTTCCTGCTGGAGGGCCGGCGGTTCACAGCTTTTGTCGCCGACTGCCTTTCCCAGGCGGTCACTGGGTCCGTCCACTTGGGCCTCGACTACACAGCCATGGCAGCGGACCAGACTGCGGACTCTGAGGTTCAAGCCTACCGGATGGCCCCCACGGCGCTGCTCATGGAAGATGTGGTGTTTGACACGGCCAATGCAACGCTCCTCTGTGATGTCTCCACCGGCCTGCTGCGCCCTATGGTACCTGCTGGCTAGAGGCACCAGGTCTTCGACACCATCCACGGCCTTTCCCACCCGGGGGTGAGGGCCTCTACCAAGCTGGTGGGGGCCAAGTTCGTCTGGCCTGCTGCCTGCGTGGCGTGCCAGCGCGCAAAGGTGACGCGTCATACTAAGGCCCCTTTGGCACCCTTCAAGGTGCCAGAGAGACGTTTTGACCATGTGAATGTAGACCTGGTGGGCCCTCTTCCCCCCTCCCGTGGTTGCATCTACCTCCTCACCATGGTGGACAGGACCACCAGGTGGCCAGAAGTTGTCCCTCTGTCCTCTACTACATCAGCTGACGTGGCCCAGGCGTTCATTATGGCTTGGGTGGCCCGTTTTGGCACACAGTCTGACCTCTCCTCAGACCAGAGGTCCACAGTTCACATCGGAGCTTTGGACTGCGGTCACCGAGGGCCTGGGGGTGAAGGTCGACCGTACCACAGCGTATAACCCACAGAGCATGGACTTTGCGAGCGGTTTAATCGTGACATGAAGGCCGAGCTCAGGGCCAGCCTCACAGGCAGCGACTGGGCTGACCGCCTCCCATGGGTTATGCTTGGACTTAGCTCCGCCCCTAAGGAAGATCTTCAGGCTTCATCAGCTGAGCTGATGTATGGCCAGCCTCTGCGCGTCCCGGGGAGTTCCTTCCTGATGCCACGACCCCGTGGTCGGCTGCCTCCCATCGTGCTGTGTCCCGGGGCATGGCTGATGCTTTCGTTCCAGTTCCGACGTCTCACCATGGCCTCCCCCAGTCCTACGTTCCCAAGGATTTGCCATCAGCCAAGTATGTCTTCATCCCCCATGACAGCCATTGGACCCCGCTGCGGCCCCCCTACGATGGGCCCTTCTGTGTCCTGGTGGGGGGGGTCTAGGAGGTTCATTGTGGATATGGGGGGCAAGCCTGAACGGGTGTCTAAAGACCGTCTCAAGCCTGCTCATATGGATGTTGGCGAACCACTTCAGCTGGCCCAGCCTCCACGGCGGGGGCGCCCCCGTGCAACAGCCGCGTCCCCTGCCCCTGCTGAGGTTTCAGTGCAAACCCCAGCCCTACCCCTCGCCCTTGACCCCCCTCCTGTTAAGCGCAGCCGTTATGGCCACCTGATCCGCCCCCATACAGCCTGCTGACTTTTCTAGGGACTGTTATAAGCGGGATTGTTCTGTTTTGCACTAGTGGGTGGGTGTCTGTTCTAATTGGGGTGCCTGTTCTTTCTGGTCCTGTTATTATGGGTGAATTCTGGGGGGGCCTGTGTGGTGACCCACAATAGACACTGAGAGAGACATTCACCATAAACACTGAGAGAGACATTCACCAAGGGACTGTACCTTTAAGGGAGAGGTTGACGGGGACTAGTGCTTCTGGGGTTGTGTTGTGTTTACGTTCTCACCTCACTCGCTGTACTGAGCAGTTACATATACGAAGTGGAGAGTAAATCTGACTCGACACATCTCCGTCTCCTGTCTCCTCATTTTACACACTCCACACTACCATCTTTTATTAAATCATTCCTGCTTGCGTACACAAGCATTTTTCAAACTTTACACCCACAGTTTATAATAGAGGCCTTCTGTTATAATTGCTGTCTCTGTGCCCAAGCTGATATAACCCTGATGATATCACTGGGGGGGGGTTATCAAACTTAACAAAGCTCCTTCAGAACCACGGAGGACATTGTTACACAACATTGCTTCACAGGCTGAGTAGTTCCCCCCATGACTCATAAACTGATGAAATTTATGTGCGAAGTTTTGGAGAATGGTTTAATAAAAGGAAGATTTATACTGCTAAGACAAAAGTTAATGATGCTGCATTATGCTATTAGCACACAGGTATGATGACTTGTGCCTGCAGGACAAGGTGATCATAGTTAATTGTGTCAGTGTTTTGGTTTTCTTCCACAATAAACACAGATTAATTTTATGAATGTGAATGTGAATGGTTGTCTGTCTGTATGTATCAGCCCTGTGATAAACTGGCACCCTGTTTACAGTGTACCCTGCCTCTCACACAAAGTCAGCTGGGATAGCCAACTGCAACCCTACACAGGGCAAGTGGCTGTGCTGTAGATAAGGGATGGATTTCCAAGTTGGGGAGGAGAAACAGATTATCAGACAGAATGGAGACACCCTGTGTCTTGACCATGAACTGGAACATCCCTAACATGAGTGTGTTGCATCTACCTGTTTCCTCTCATCGCTCTGCTGCCTATAATAAAGGCACAGGAATGCCCAAAATACTTAAACTACTAAAAGGGATAATGGTCAGCAGATAAATGAGTAGTCTGACTTTAAGTCCTTAGTGTGGGTCAAGCTGTTGAAACCCCATAATGCAACTACTACAGAAAATGACCTCTAAAAGATGCATAACAACTACAAAGGGATGTAAAACCACCACAAAGTCTGGATGTCTTGCTCCTATGTAGGAAAGATGAAGGGGCCCTTTGCATACCCGTACCCAGGGGCCCATTATCCGCCCACTTCCATGGCCACATCCACAGTTTATATTACAAGCCATTTGTTATAGATGTTTCCATGCCCAAGCTGAGACAACCCTGATGATATCATTAGGAGTTATTTTCTTTAACCTAACAAAGCTCTTTCAGAGCCACAGAGGACAATATTACACAACTATTATCATAGGTTCGGCAGTACTCTCCATGACTAGTAAACTGACATTTAAGTGTGAAATGTTGGAGTCTCCCTGTAAATAATGACACCCAGGACAAAGCTTTACACAGTGAGACACTGGCACTAACAAACCTGAAATGAGAACCACTGATCATAACCTGGTGTGAGGTCGGTACAGTACAGTATGACCCACAATAAACAATTTAATAATAATCCCATTCCTCCCACACAGACATGCAAACACATAGATGGAGACTCACCAGCCAATGTTCCAATTGCCGATCCAAGCAGAGCATGAGCTGCCAGCAGGGGGGAGTAGAGCAGAACAGCTCCCAGGATGAGGAGGGAGGGCCCCAGGGCTCCACAGGCAAAGATCTGACCCACACCCAGAGGGATGCCACGCAATACCTGGATGAGAGAGACAAGTTAGGAGGATCTGATAAGATTTAACACTATGTATCTGACGGCAAATGATTAGAAGTTTTAGTATAAAACAGCAGAGGCATGCTCACAAAAACATAATGACAGAATGTGTGGACTCTATTCAGCTGCTCTCTTTCCAGTCAAAATCAGCCTCTTTTCTTAACTCAGTTACACACGCACACACATGCATATGCTGCATTCCCAACAGTCAGTGAGAAGTGAAGAGTTTCCATGGCGACAGGATGGGTGCACCTGCCTGTTGCTGATATTTACAAGTCATAAATGGTGTTTAATTATATCGCTGCCACGCAACTCTTTGTGCGTGTGCGCGCATCTACGTGTGTACACACCTGTGTATCCATGTGTGTGTGTTTGTGCGTGGAGAGATTGAATGTGCTGTTGTGGTAGAGCAGCAAGAGCGCCATCCACAGCAGAGTGAAAGCTGAAGACATTAAATATAAATAGGACCGACGTCATCCCCATCTCTGGAGAGGCAGAGGAGAGAAGGAAGGAGGAAATGGAGATGGGTGGAAGAAAAGGAAGGAGGAGAGCAATAAAGAAGAAGAAAAAGGATGAAAAGGGGGGAAAGAAGAGGAAAAGGAGGAGGAAGAGATTGTTTCATAGGAAAAAAAATAGCTGCATTAACCTTGAAAATGTGGTTATATATACCAGTTGTTTATCATAAACTGAATAATGAGGAAGGAGAGCAAAGGAGGATGAAAAAGACATGTTGAAAAAGTGATGAAGAAAGATGTGAAAAGTGGGAGACGGAGGATGGAGATTAGCATAGCAGAGCAGAGGCGAGAATAGAGGCTGGGGAGAGGAGAAGCAGAGAGATAAAAAGCAGGATTTAGAGCTTTTAGATCTCCCAAGTAACAAACCAAAGGGAAGTGATGAAATGAAAACTGCAGCACTTACGAGGCCAGCGACAGACAGATGGAGGGAGGAGTAAAAGAGGGAGACACTCAGGAAACAGAGAGAGAGAAATAATCTGAGATGGAGGGGCTAAAACTTGTGGAAAGTAATCATTTAGTGTGAGGGACATACTGTGCTTCAGGGCGCGATGCTAGTTAATAGAATTGTGTGTAAATCTTCTTGACTCTGTATTCAGGACACCTAACAGCGCTGAGAGGGGTTAGTCAGCGTGGCTAATCTAATTTAGACAACTTCACAGTCAGTTTGCAGATCAGCATGTGCAGAAGAAATACACTTTCATAACATCCTTCACCTCCTCTGGGTCTTGCTGTGCCTCGAAATCTGACAACCAAGAGGCAGACTTACAGGTCTAGCTTGGTACTGTCTGTGTGTTCAGTTTTATGCTTCAAGAAGGGTTTTTCTGGAAGAAATAATTAAGCAAGGTCATAGAGAAAAATGTGTTTACCCACCATAAAAGAGGACATTATATTGGGGTTTACACTATTTAAATATTGAATTTGTGCAGTGACAATATATTGTGTTTCTTTGTCTATATATATCTGTATATGTTTGGAATCTTGCACACTTTGTTGTATTTGTATGTGAGGTTGTGTCGTCTATATAAACTGCAAGTCCTCCCTACATATGCTACACCAGTGCTAAGGAGTCATCTTTATGTACACTTAATACATTTGGAAGAGGATGGAGCTTTTCCGATTCGAATCACATAATCTGTTCTGCCCTTTTCCAAACAAAAGCTCCGAGATTAAAATTCAGTTACTCCTAAAGCAACGAGATGCCAGCTGGCTCACAGAGATCAAAAGCCGACTGCAGCAGCTGGTGAGAGTCTGGATTCTCTTGCCAAAGTCTCATGAGAAGCAGTTCAAGGCAACTGCATTTCAGCTCCATTCGGGGGTCGCAGAAAACTATTTGCTTTATAGAGGGTGTGTGTGCAACAGCTTGCATTCTAATCAAGAGGACTTTCTGTAGCATAAATTTAAGCCTTCAGGTTTTATTGTTAGTTTTTTTTTCTCCCTGGCTATAAAATCCCCCTCAGCTTCTCCTTCCTGGAAACCTGATTGCCTCTCACACTCTCCTGAATATTATGCACAGTCATACAGACACAGAACAAAACAACTCTTCTTGAATGCCTTACCTCCACTATGACTTTCAATCTTGGTGTATCACCAAGAATTGGTAATTAAAACAGTTTGGGCTGATTATAATATCTGAACAGGAGCTCCAACAGTAACTGTTGCTAAGTAACTGGTGAGTCATAGCTCGCTGATCGTATGCATATTGTGCTCCTATCAGTTACTCGTTCAGTCTGGCTGCAGCATGGCAGACACACTGAGGACAACTGGCCTCGAATCAGCTCACTTTCTGTCTTCATTCATCATATGTCCTGTCACTTCTAATAGTTCCCTTTGTGACTGCTAATGACCTGCACCTGTTTCACGATCATGTGAGTTGATGGGCCGTCTCTGTTAAAATATCACTGCAAATGTTACTCTGACAGATCCCCTCATGGTGAAATGCTGATAAAGACAACTGCAAATTGAGTGTTCTTTTCTTTAATCTATGCAGGGAAAGGTAATCATTAAAGGGACAGTTCAAATTTCTCCGCTAATCAGTCTGGATTGTTTTGGTGTGAGTTGCAGAGTGTTGCAGATATTGGCCGTAGAGATGTCTGCCTTCTTTTGAATATAATGGAACTAGATGGCACTCAGCTTGTGGTGCTCAAAGCACCAAAACATATATTTGAAAAACTCAACAGCAATGTCTCTTGCCAGAAATCCTGACCTGGTTACTCAAGATAATCCACAGACTGTGTTGTGAGCAGTTTCAAGTAGGAACTATTTTCTGTCTACGGTACTTCACCCACCAACCGTATCACTGTGCAGAAGGAAGTGTGCATCTACTGCTAGCTCACCTAGCACCACTGAGCTAGCTAACTTTACAGCTCTGCCAAGGAGAGTGCCATTGATGATAACATCTTACACTATCACAAACATGAGCCTCTCATCCATGAGTACATCATTGTTTGCCCCAGTAAGTATGTTTGTTACTAACATTATGAAATACATACATACATGTCATACGTCACGTGACATGTGTTATTAAAATAACTCGATTGGCTGATTTGCTCTACTCTTCTACTCTTCAGCTTGTACTCAATCAGCTGACTAAGGGTTTTACCAATCAGATTTTGCCATGATCTCCCTGAGCCAATCATATTGTTGCTGTCAAACTTTAAAACTCTTCTCCTCTCTGCTGCTGTGAGTTGTTATTTCAGGGCAAAATCGATGTGACTCTCCCCCTCCATCTCATTCACCACCAGTTCTCATCACATCCAGTGCCCAGCAGGGTTCGCTCCACTGAGCTCTTAAGAATCTCATCCATCCAGATCTTCAGCCAACTCTCTTCCTCTTTTTTACCACCACCACCAGTCTGTAGACTCCATCAGGTAAATATATCTGTACTACTTATGGCATCACTACCCCACTAACATTTCTTAACTTTCCTGTCAATAAATTCATTTGCTCACTCTTAAAATGAAGTATCTCCTGATGGAACTGTTGATGAAGTTAACCATGGTCCGAGATCTGTGGGACAGTCATGATTTGAGAGTTTTAAACAGCAACCTCCCGGCTTTCCTTTTCTTTAACTTAACTTAAACGTTGGACCACCTTACCTCTACTGCAATGAGCTTAGTATCATTGAGCTCCAGCGCCCCCGGTGGTGTAGCCGGGTGGTGTGGGAAGTAAGGGTTGTCTGGGCCGGTACAAAGGAGGTAGAGGACAATGACGATGTTGAAGGGAAACACAGCAACAGGCAAGTCCCAGCGGTCCAACACTGAGGAGAGACCGCTGAACAGGAATACACTGGAGATGGAGGTGGGAAGTGAGAGAGCGGAGGTGCTGATCATTTTAATAAAACACCTTTTTTTCCCTTTTGTAATGAATGATATACATGCTTTTTGCAGATGCATGGTGTTCACAACGACACTAAATACACTCTACTGACAGGTAAAGTGAGTAATGTTGGTCATTTTATTACAATGCAATGTTTAGCTGGGATTCCTTGGGTCCTGGCACTCATGTAAATGCCACCTGACACACACCACCCACCCAAACACCAATCCAGACCAAGTACACCCCTTTATTGGTAACGTCACTCCCCTGATGGCAGATTGCAGAACGAGGCAAAGTGCTCAAGGCGTCAACCTGGCCTCCAGATTCCCCAGATCCCACTCTGATTTAGCATCTGTGGGATGTGCCAGTGCCTGAGAGGTCCTGTGTCCATGCCTCAACAGGTCAGAGCCAAGTGCGATCCAGGGTGGGGCCTCTGAACTGCTGAGGCATGAACACAGGACCTCTAGTGTAGCAGCACACCCCACGGATGCTTGATCAGATTGGGATCTGGGCCAGGTCAATGCCTCTTGAGCTTTTTGTCACGTTCCTCAGGCCATTCCTGAGTAGCTTTTGCAGTGTGGCATGGCGCAGTGTCACTGCCATCAGGGAGTGCTGCTGGGATGAGGAGAGGTACTCTGCAACAGTGCTTGGGCGGGGTGTTGCATCTGCATGAATGCCAGGACCCAAGGTTTCCCTGTTGAACATTGCTTTGTAACAGGACGATCAGTGTTTTTTACTTCACCTGTCAGTGGTTTTAATATTGTTGCTGATCATAAATTTACATTATTGATTAGTCTGTTGAGGAGTTTCATGACTAATCAATATATATATACACAGAACAGGCCAAAAGTTTGGACACACCTTCTCATTCAATGCGTTTTCTTTATTTTCATGACTATTTACATTGTAGATTCTCACTGAAGGCATCAAAACTATGAATGAACACATGTGGAGTTATGTACTTAACAAAAAAAGGTGAAATAACTGAAAACATGTTTTATATTCTAGTTTCTTCAAAATAGCCACCCTTTGCTCTGATTACTGCTTTGCACACTCTTGGCATTCTCTAAATGAGCTTCAAGAGGTAGTCACCTGAAATGGTTTCCACTTCACAGGTGTGCCTTATCAGGGTTAATTAGTGGAATTTCTTGCTTTATCAATGGGGTTGGGACCATCAGTTGTGTTGTGCAGAAGTCAGGTTAATACACAGCCGATAGCCCTATTGGACAACTGTTAAAATTCATATTATGGCAAGAACCAATCAGCTAACTAAAGAAAAACGAGTGGCCATCATTACTTTAAAAAATGAAGGTCAGTCAGTCCGGAAAATTGCAAAAACTTTAAATGTGTCCCCAAGTGGAGTCGCAAAAACCATCAAGCGCTACAACGAAACTGGCACACATGAGGACCGACCCAGGAAAGGAAGACCAAGAGTCACCTCTGCTTCTGAGGATAAGTTCATCCGAGTCACCAGCCTCAGAAATGGCAAGTTAACAGCAGCTCAGATCAGAGACCAGATGAATGCCACACAGAGTTCTAGCAGCAGACCCATCTCTAGAACAACTGTTAAGAGGAGACTGCGCGAATCAGGCCTTCATGGTCAAATAGCTGCTAGGAAACCACTGCTAAGGAGAGGCAACAAGCAGAAGAGATTTGTTTGGGCCAACAAGGAATGGACATTAGACCAGTGAAAATCTGTGCTTTGGTCTGATGAGTCCAAATTTGAGATCTTTGGTTCCAACCGCCGTGTCCAAACAAAACGCAAACCGGATGGGATGGCATGTCGCTGCAGGATGCTGTGGTAGCCATGCTGGTTCAGTGTGCCTTCAATTTTGAATAAATCCCCAACAGTGTCACCAGCAAAACACCCCCACACCATCACACCTCCTCCTCCATGCTTCACAGTGGGAACCAGGCATGTGGAATCCATCCGTTCACCTTTTCTGAGTCTCACAAAGACACGGCGGTTGGAACCAAAGATCTCAAATTTGGACTCATCAGACCAAAGCACAGATTTCCACTGGTCTAATGTCCATTCCTTGTGTTTCTTGGCCCAAACAAATCTCTTCTGCTTGTTGCCTCTCCTTAGCAGTGGTTTCCTAGCAGCTATTTGACCATGAAGGCCTGATTCGCGCAGTCTCCTCTTAACAGTTGTTCTAGAGATGGGTCTGCTGCTAGAACTCTATGTGGCATTCATCTGGTCTCTGATCTGAGCTGCTGTTAACTTGCCATTTCTGAGGCTGGTGACTCGGATGAACTTATTCTCAGAAGCAGAGGTGACTCTTGGTCTTCCTTTCCTGGGTCGGTCCTCATGTGTGCCAGTTTCGTTGTAGCGCTTGATGGTTTTTGCGACTCCACTTGGGGACACATTTAAAGTTTTTGCAATTTTCCGGACTGACTGACCTTCATTTCTTAAAGTAATGATGGCCACTCGTTTTTCTTTAGTTAGCTGATTGGTTCTTGCCATAATATGAATTTTAACAGTTGTCCAATAGGGCTGTTGGCTGTGTATTAACCTGACTTCTGCACAACACAACTGATGGTCCCAACCCCATTGATAAAGCAAGAAATTCCACTAATTAACCCTGATAAGGCACATCTGTGAAGTGGAAACCATTTCAGGTGACTACCTCTTGAAGCTCATCAAGAGAATGCCAAGAGTGTGCAAAGCAGTAATCAGAGCAAAGGGTGGCTATTTTGAAGAAACTAGAATATAAAACATGTTTTCAGTTATTTCACCTTTTTTTGTTAAGTACATAACTCCACATGTGTTCATTCATAGTTTTGATGCCTTCAGTGAGAATCTACAATGTAAATAGTCATGAAAATAAAGAAAACGCATTGAATGAGAAGGTGTGTCCAAACTTTTGGCCTGTACTGTATGTATATCAAATTTAAAGTGCCAAAAATAATGAAAATATCCATTATAATTCCCCAAGGCCACATACATAACAACATAATCTAAACTATACTTTGGATGGCTGGAGATTCACTTAGCTTTGGTGTGAAAATCCTTGAGATGGTGGTTAAAACATCAGTGATAAAGTAAAGTTATTGGGGCTCAGATGGCACTGGAACTGATTTGTCACTAAATAGGATAAACAAGTAACCCAGTCAACAAAGCTTTTAAAATGCTCTAGGTCCAATTATTAAGTGCCTCACATAGTACATTTGTACTATTATACACACTCACTTGTGGCATACAATACACAGAGACTGTCCTCACTGGAAAACCACCATCATTGGCCAGCTGCTTAAAATGACTGATGTCCCAGCAAAGCACTTCACTTCTGTGTGACTCACCATGTAGCTGACCCCAAGCAGACAGGCAGCAGCAGCCACCAGTACCAGTCTCCAGCTGAGCTGAACACCCCCATCAGCAGAGACACCAACATGCCATTAAAACCATGGAGACCTCTTGACACCTCAGCACTATACACACACACACACACACACACACACACACAACAGGAATATACAAATTTCACAATAACATCTTGCATTTTCTATTCTGGAGACATTTATGTTATACAGTGATGTACAATAAGACTGTTTTCATGATCAAAACACACATTAGCGTAGCCTTTTATGGCTCCTCATGAAACAAACTCTTAAGTTTTAATGAGCAGAGGTCCCAGGGTGACACTAAGTGTATTCAGCATGTCAGAATTAAAAACATTAGCAGCTCCAATTCAGCCGGAATTATTTTTAAAACCTTGAAACAAGGTTGTGTATTAGCATATTATACGCTGCATGTCATACACTAAATATTAGGACATTAACCAAAATAAGTATTACTAGGTAGTGGGTGTGGGTGAACACAAGGCGATCAGTCATGGAGCTGTTATTCTCATGAATTTTAAGTAGAACCCTCAATCAACTTTAGTCATCAGGTCGAACAAATTATGGGCTTGTGTTACAGGATCGGCTTCCAGGCAACAGACAGGTTTTTTAATGATGGTTCCATTATTTAAAAGGGACATTTTTCTGTTGTGTGGTTTCAAGGTACACAGATCATTAAATATGTACATACAAATGTGCACTTTTATGAGCGTCTATGCTATTTGTGTGTGTGTGTGTGTGTGTGTGTGTGTGTGTTATATCATTCCACCTGTCTTGCCCCATTATAACAGCTGTTAGTGTAGAGGCCAGTACGCCCAGAGTTCCCAGCAGGCCCTGCCAGGGGGAGGCCCAGTACAGTGCGCCCATAATGAGAGCACCACTCAGCGGGTTGTTGGCTAGGATCACCTGGGTCACCCCTCTCAGGCCCCAAACCGCCAGCTGCAGCACAAAAAGCTTGTCTGAAGACACAGAAAGAAAATATTTTTGCATGTTTGTCTTGACAGAATTTCCCCCAAATACTTCTCAGAAGAATAAAGATTTCAAACTGCTGCACAAACATGTTTCTCAGTTGGGTTTCTACAGGGTTTCATAAAAGAATCAAGATGGGAGTTTTATGATAATTTTATGTTGGAGGAAGCGTGCAGCAGCATTCACCATGGGAGTTGTGTAATGATTGCATCTGCATATTTTAATGGATTTTTAAGCATTTCAGAGTCATTTATTTATACTTATGGCAGTTTAACACATTTCAAGTGTTTGGCAAATTGCTCTTTTTGAAAGTTTTGTAATTAATCACATTATGGGAAAACTCAGCCTTTACTGTATGCATTATGCATTTTTTAGGCACAATTTATAAGAGATCATACATTTTATACTTGAGTTTAACATCAAATGTAAGAAAATGCTTTTTGGGATGTAGCAGTGTATTGTGAAAGTTCTCCTACCTTGCACGTACTTATCCAAGTACTCCATGTCCCCAGTACACAACAGCAGACCGTTCAATACACGCCGACTCAGGTTGGCACGGTTCCTGCTGGCCTCCTTCACCTCTGTTTTGGTATCCATCCACATCCTTGCAGCTGCTGGACCACACCACTAGAAAAGTGATAAATGTGATGTAATTTTGGAAAATCCCAGAATTCCACCTTATTTTGTTGCTCCTTTTTATTCTTCCAGCGCCTGTGTTTGTTCCCCTGTTGCTTCTTAATCCCCCTCCTTCTCAGTCATCCCTTCTCCCCTTTTCCTCCTCGCCCTCTCTCCACCCTTTCGAGGTTTAAGGGGATGACTTATAAACTAGTGGGCCGTATTCACTCGGCTCTCGAACCCCTTGCTTCAGCTCTGTTTTCCCATTTCGCAATCACCTTGTCCCTCTGTCCTCTCCTTCCCCTTTCTGTTCCAGCCCCACTGTGACATCTCTTCACCTATTGTTTGTCCATGTAAGCTGCTCATCTACTTTTTATTGCAGCATCCGCATGAATGTTTGTCTTTTCCTCATCTGTAAAGCCATTAGTGCATGCTGTATTATCTCAAGTCTTTCGGAAGGGTGTAATATATAACCCAGTTATCTCTGCTGGCTGCTTTGAGAAAACAGATGCTGGAGAGGAAAATTTGACACCAGATTCATCTATAACCACTTATTTTACTTTTGACTTTCTGTTGACATCAGTTTTAACAAGCTCCTTGCACTGCTTCGGCCTTTGAAGATTTTTTTTCTATTGCTGTTTCCACTTTAAGAAGAGTTGAGAGCACTTGGAGTTCAGTAAAGAGTGTGTGTGGATGTTTGTGTGCATGCATACCTGCAACTCTATCTCCTTTTGTCACCTTTTTCTAGTTTTAGAGTGACACCTAACTGACTAAGTGGCCTGAAGAGGAACGCTTTGATTCCACTTCCACTTGAGAAACGCAAAAATGTGACTTCCGAGAGGTGTGCGCATCTGTGTGTGTGCGTGTATGGTCGCTGGTGCACATCCATTAGTGGGCTCAAAGTGCGGCAAGTGAAGGCAATAACAGCATGTCAGATACCATCACAGAGAGAGTCTTTTCACTCCGCCTGAGCTGGTGCAGCAGGGATTCAAAAGCCTTGTTTTTGCAGGTGGAAATTGCTGTGCCATTCAAGAACCCCTGACAGCTCATCTCTCTCTCCTGCTTTCTCTGTCTCTGTCGCTCTATCCATCTTTTATGTGCTTCAATAAATACATCCGCTACCCTCTGTCTGTCTCTGCTGTTTGGCTCATTCCATCAATCACAGACTGTGCAGCTAGAGGAAAAGAACTACAGATGGACACACACGCCACACTGTGCTATAATAAGAGGAGGAGATGCAAGTAAATGTTGGAAGATGACACTTTGACCTGCCAATGTACTGGTTTTGTTAAACAGGCAGACAGATAGCAGCCATATGTACCAAGTTACGGCAAGACACCATGCTGCAGCTATGGTGCGTTTAGGTGTTTATATTCAGTATTCACGGTGTGCGTTCGTTCCATTTCAGACTCATCTAACAGACCAAAGGTCACTGAATGCATTATAGCACCAAGCAGCAAACCTCCACAGCTGAAAAATGAAGCCACACTGAAGTGCCAAAAGATGCTGTTCCTTGTATGGCCACTTGAGGCTGGCTCCAAAAGCAAGTCAATCCCAACAGACCTACATATCAAAATGCCCAACTTTACAATAGGGAAATAAATAAACATATTAACAGCCTGATACAAAAGAGGTTTAGTCTGTTTAGCTAATTTCAACATTAATGCCAGCTGTCAACTGAACGTTATATAACTCACCTGTTTATATTTTATTAAGGCTTGTAGTTATGCATAATTCAGGGTATTGGCTGCTTTAAGTGACAGACTGTCTGCTAGTGTCCAAACTCCTACCAAACTCATAGGTGAATAATACCTAGATACCAGATTCCAAGATTGCGCCTATTTATTCCAATGGAGTTGCTTGCCTGATGCATATGCCAAAAAAAGTTTCTGGCTTCCAGGTTTACTTCTTTGGTATGCGTCCCCACTAAATATGTGCAGTAGTGTTTCTACCACCAGCTGGCCCATGAGTTCCCACTTAGCCTATAGACTTTACATTGTAATAACTTCACTGATTGTTAAATTGCTTTAGACAGCTCCAGTAAAGTTTTACAAGTATAAAACCTCCATGGTTGAAGAATTCATAATAGAAAGAGTCATAATTGACCTTGTTTGCAGTTCGAGGTGCACGGTAAACACTTTTACAGGCATCTTTTATAATGGTGGTCTTTGGGAAAAATGTTTTTGGGCCACAGGGTACTTTTTTGCTGAAATACCGTGAGTGGCCACAAGTCAAAATTGGCTGCAAGGCTGAGCAGCATTCCTGGGGGCCTGACCAAATGTCACAAGTGTCCCTCCCACTCCTTACAGCTCTCTCCCATCTTTTCTCAGCTAGCAGCTTGGATAACTTTATGTAGCCAGTCATGCTCCCTTCTGCATGGTAGCTATGTAGTTTGGCAAAAAGAAAATAGTTCTAACGTAAAACTGCCCATGACAAGGTCTGTGGACAATCTTGAGTAACCAGGTCATGATTTTTGGAATGAGACATTGCTGTTGAGTTTCAAATGTATTTTTTAGCGCTTTGAGCACCACAAGCCATCTAGTTCCATTATATTCATGAGAAGGTAGACTTCTCTACAGCCAATATTGCCAACACTCTGCAACTCACACCAAAACAGTCTAGACTGATAAATAGCACTACAGGTAAGAGGAAAAATATGTATTTTTGATTTGGGGGTGAACTTTCCTTTTAAGTGCCTTCTAGCTAAGTAGAATCACCTTTTATCACACTGTCTGACAGTATCATATTCTGTATCAGCCTGTTCCAGCTCCTCATTGAAGCTATATGATGTTTACACTATTATATTTGTTTAAGGAAATGTATATAACATAGACTGACACCACATACCACCGTCATGAGATAGGCCTTTAGACAAATACACATACACATATCTTCCCCAGACTTCACCTCAACGTACAGTATTTGGTATCTTAGGAAACACTGGGCTTGCCACTAGAATTTGAAATGAGGTGCTGTGGGTTTGAACAATATTTGCTGTCACAGCATGAGTTTGACTTGCCCACAGGCAGGCCTGCAGACTTGTCAAAGTGTTGGACAGCTACCACCGGATGTTATGTGTATTTTGCTGAGACGATTGAGTGGATTAACACAAGAAGTGCAGGAGAAGTGCACGACAAAATTAGCCTGGAGACCTTGTATGTGCAGACTACATGCTCTAACACTGCTACATCCCCACAATAAAGTTCTTGTTCACAGTTAAGTTCACAATATATAAGCAATGCACGGATGCAGTGCATGCTACCCAGTTCCAAATACATCACATCACATCACATCCCATCAAATCACATCGAAATCCACTGAGAACAGAGCAACACCAGCAACTGTTCAGATCTTCAAAGGGACACAATGTTATTTGCAATTATTATTTGATTAACCTCGGGCAGAGTTTAAATAAAAAAACAAGATAACAATCAAATAATGTGAGTATTTGCATCAGTTCATAGAAACTCCCCAAAGCCACTAAAATATATAATTACTGATGTGGCTGAAAGAATCCAATCTCCACAGCAAATGAAGCATGAGGCCCTGATAACATCACAAATGAGGTGCGGAGATTACAGCCCATCTGGACTTCAGATGCAATTTTCCCACTGTTCATCGTGGTGCTTAGCCTCAGAGTTTTCCCAGGGCTACTCGTCTTATAACATTCTCACACTTCCTAAACACTGAGTCACTAAACTCCACAGTCGGGATGCGAGAGTGGAGCACACATGAAACATAGTGATTAAAGGGAGGGCATGGGATCGCTGTGTTATCTGGAAGAGAGACGGAGAAAAGAATGAGCAATCATTTCCTCCTGTTTCCATGATGATGGACATTTCTCTCATTGTTCTTTTTCTACCACTCTTTCTTGCACTCTCACACATTGTGTGTGAAATGCATGCTGTAAACAGGAAAGCTGTCTGACACACACAGATGATTTTAATTTGCCCCTTAAGGTTACATGTTTGAACCAACTAGGAGGCTTATTTAATTTGATTTGGTTTCTCCTGACCGCAAAGACACCTAAAATATTTGATAAGAGTAAAAACCCTCACTTGAATTTTTCAAGTCAGGGTAACATGTCTACAGTTTGTTTTTCTTGTACTCACGCACACGCTTTCCTTTTCTCTAACCCTGAACCTTTACTCTACCTTGAGCCTAATCCTGACTCTACAGATCTTAAGCTTAAGTCTAAAACCAAGCAGTGAGCCAAAACACCTTGAGAAGTGAGAATAAACAGATGTTCTTCCTTCTACTTCAGAGTGCCGACAGACATCAGCGTCTGAAATAACACTGACTTCTCAAGTATGAGTATCGTTTTAATAGGCTCTCCTTCTTCACAGTCTATTAGGGAAAGCATTGGAGAATAGAAAGACAGAGGAGGGGGGAGGAGAGGAATGACTGATGGGAGGATCATTCATGCTGCTCCAGTGGAGAGCCCTCTGGGTGATGAGTGGAGCTCCATTCTCCTTCATGGCCATAGCACCATTTCGGCAAATCACTTTCTGTTCAGTCCTTGTTGCCACCTGCTTGGCTACCCTTCATCTTCCCACACATCCCCTTCTTTCTCTCTGAATATACAGGCATGTTTGCAGAAGTGAAAAAAGTACTAGAGTACTGTACTCAAGAAAAAGCACAAGTGTAGGAATGTACTTAAAGGGATACCTTGCCAATTTTCCACCAGCTTCATAATCATGTGGGTGGTATGTGTAAATGAACTATGGTAAACCTCACACCTAGATCTCTTTGCTCATATGCCAGTGAAAATCCAGCAGATTTTCACTGACTCTTGGGCTGTTGCTCAAACTACAGATTGTACTTTCTAATTTTTGCCTGCCGCTACCACAGACCTATCTCTCAAATTCAGTCCAAACTCAGATGAAATGGCAAAATTATCAATTATAAACCACGATTCTGTCACTGTATTGCCCTTTTCTCACCTAAAATGTTTTTAGGAACATATTTTAGTGCACTGTTTACCTGTAATATGAGAGTTTGTGAGCAGGGGCTGGACTCCATACTATTTCCTGTATTGTGTAAATGGAGGCTAAAAAACTTGAGACCAAACAGTAAAACTAAGCAGAGGTGATCCAATATAAACAAAGTTTTTGGAAACATATTTTAACTTAACATATTTTAATTGTAATATGAGCCCATTTGTTACCAGCCACAGCCCCTCTTCTGTGTATTCTTTGATTAAGCTGCACCAGTGTCAAAAGAATTTGCATCTGTGGTGTTGGTCATCTTTTCAGC